AGATGGAAAGTAGTATAGTAGGATTACCCAAAAATTGCTTTCTGTATCCTAAATTTAAGTCTATTTTCAAGTTGTACAATAATCACAATTTTTATTGTACAAAAATTGAATGTTTTCTGTATCCTAAATTTAAGTTGTATAAAAATCACACAAAAATTGAACATTTTCTATATCTTAAATTTAAGTTGTACAAAAATTGCATACTTTTAATATGCTTTGAAAAGCTTCATAGCTATTTTTATCCAAAAATCTGCAATAATTGTACAATTTCCACACGGACTTGAACAAATATTGTACAAAAATTGGATGATTTTTTTTCATAGGGCATATATAGTACAAATGAAATGGATGTGAAACTTTTTACTTTTTTTTCAAAAATATTAATCTTTTATTTAATATTTACTAACAACGATGTTGCAACCATAGGAAATTGTTCCAGCAATAATGTGATATTAAAGTATCACAAAGCTCACTCAAATATTATGATATTACTATGAAGTTGGTAAAGACCACAAATCAATATCAAAGTGGATTAGATTATAATAAATTTAAAACATATTGTATATAGATGAATTGAATTGTATGTAAAGATTTTAGCATTTTTCCTTTAATATTGGAAAATTTTGTTATTTATATTAGAGGTCAATAATTTCTTCAAAGTTTATTGGAAAATTACAAATAAATTCTTGGATAATATCGGAATGTGGATTCATTTGATATAATCTTTAAATAAAGATGTACTCGGATGCAAATAATTCCTTTACTTTTTAACGGTGTCCAATCATACAAATTACGTTGTAAAATGAGAATTATTAATAAAGCTTTTGATTTGACCCATTTAGTTCATTGTGTATTTATGAAGAAATTTCGTAATATCTAATCATCAAAATTTTCACTGATTATTGGAATAATGATAATGAGTTATAAATTATATTTAGTTCTTTAAATATGATAAAGAAAAATTTTGAAAGAAAAAGACACAATAAAAAATCAATAACCCAAAAAAACCGAAAAATAAATAAATATATACTATGATATAAATTTAAATGACTACAAATAATAAATGAATTTGCCATAATACTTGATGTTATACAACCAATTATTAATAGTGTATTTAAAATTTAAAAAGAAAAATTACTTTTATAAATTTTGATAATTTAAACTATTTTAGAGTATCAATATCAAAATCAATTTCATTGGTAATATACCCTACATTTGAATAAAGAAATTAGGTTTGCAATATTTAACTAAGGGTTTTCATTTACAGAATAAATAAAAATATGTTTTCATACCATTATTATCAAAATTCACATCAATATCTAAGTCGATTTCTTTTGTAAGATAATCTAAAGAATATATAAACAATTTTATTAAATTAAATCATGAATTTGATATATATTTACGAAAAAGTAATTACCTTCACTTTTATATAATTTTTCTCTTTTAATACTTCGACCTAAATAATTAGTAGACAATGATTTACTGAAGTTTATCAACTAATTACATTTATTTGCAATCGACAAATATCATACCATATTCATTATTATCTTCAATTAAATCATCTTCAACTCTTCTTTTTAATTTTTCTAAATTAATAGATTGACTTTTTGAACTCCTTAAAGACATTGCAGAACTAATCATGGCACTTAAAGGTCTACTCTTATAAATGGCACCTGGATTATTTTTTGGAACAGGTCCAATATCTGATGATTCTATGATTTCAGTTCTAACACCCGTTATATTGCAAAGTTTGTTATATATATGATTAGCTGTCGGTCTTTTACTTGGATCAGAATGCCAGCATTCTTTCATCAATTCAATATAACCTTCAGGTGCATTTGTGACAATTGGTGGTCGTAAACCATCACAAATATCAATAATAAGTTCTGTATCATGATTTCGATCCCAAAAAGGTCTTCTACCTGTCATCAACTCCCACATAATCATTCCAAAACTATATATATCTGAAGCTTTATTATATTTTTGTCTTTGAAAAATCTCTGGAGCCATATAAGGAATAATACCATAATTCTCATTATCATCTCCAGATTCAGTTGCAGATTTACTTATACCAAGATCACCTACTAGTACCTCCTTATAAAAAAATTTATTTCTTTTTCTATTAAAAAAAATATTTCCACTGTGAAAATCCCTATGAATAATGTTTAATTCATGTATTTCTTTAAGTCCACGTGCTATACTCATTAAGTTATCCCGCTTTGTACTCCAATTAATATTAAAAAAATCTTTAGTGATGTAATGTATCAAATCACCTGAATCATAATATGGCATGATAATCATGATATCTTGAGAATTAGGATCTTGAGTAACTCCAAAATATACGCCAACATTGGCCGATTTAAATAAACTATTACTAGCTCTTGAAGAAAAGTCATAAAACACCTTGAGCTAAAATGAAGAAGCTTATTATTTATTAATATCATTAATGGATTAAAATAGCATACTATGTACTATACCTCGTTCAACTCCTTAGATGTGATGTTTTTAGAATCATTAATTTTTTTGAGGACAACTGTATAATTTTCGGAACGAATAACTTTTTTACATTTATAACTAATAACTGGGCCATCAATCCAAGTAGCTTTATAAATTTTACTAAAACCTCCTTCAGCAATAAATTCTATATTTTTAAATTGTTCGTAAGGAACATATTCCATTTTCCCGTTTTTATTAACAAGATTAATTTGTGTATATCTGATAAAATCATCAATAATTTTATTTCCGCTTAAACCGTAATTATATGCCATCTTTATTTTGTAACAAACGTGACAAATCTGATGACTTTCATCTAAAGGTTTCCTTCTTTTATTACATTCGGGACATTTACTTTTTTTATATTTTGATTTAACAATGGGTTGTGTTGGTTGAATTAAAAATGTATTGTTCGAGTCAATTTTATGTTTATAGTTTGTTGGTTGTTCCATGTTTTTTTTTTTTATAAAAATAATTAATTGAATCAAGGAAAACTGCTGTCTAATATATACTTTTTTAAATTTAATAATTTAAACAAGGGAATTCTTTTTTTCGAATTCTATACACAATTTCTAGAAGTTATTGATGGGAATACAACTTTCTAAGAAATACTGGCGAGAATTCTATATGCAAAGAATTCTATAGTCACACATGATGCTGCGTAACTGCATATGCGGCACAGCTGAATGAGATTATATTTTTAGAAATATTCTACGATAATCATTGTAAACACGTGAATTATTACTGACGAAATTATCTTTTAAAAAAAATCTTTTTAAAACTGCTCTTCTCATTATTAGTAAGTGGAGCATTAATTCATAATAAAAATATTAAGACGAGAAATTTTTTGTGTCAATACAATGATTTATGACTTACGAGACTAAAAATAATGGATTAATAATGAACAGGAACATGTTATGACGTAATCAAAGATTGAGAAAGCTAAAAGTGTCCATTTAAAAGTAAGTCAAGGACTTATTCTGGTTTTGCAAAGTTACTGATAAAAGAATGAAACAGGAATAAAATTATAAAGCTTGAAGATATTACCACAAAAAGTCACATATAATTATTTAATAAAAAATGAAAATTATGTTTATTATGTTTACTAGAATTTATTTTTATTCTTGAACGAAATACTTAATTTTTGATAAAATTATTTGTTAAATTTACTTCGATTGAACGTGCCAAATTATCAGTAGTATCAAAACTAAAAGTATAATTATTTCAAAAAAAATTTTTTTTTATCCCGATATATATCAAGTGTTAAATTAAATAGGAAATAAAAAAATTAACCCAAATTAGAATTGATATATTTATCATTTATTACTAAATGTTTATTAAATGTAGCAATAAATTGGTTATGGTTTTAATTTATAATTAATTATTATAGCCACGTCTTACTATTGAAATTTTTTTTAAACTTCTACATGAATTTTATACTAGAGATAGATAAAAAAGTCTTAAATTAGAAGATAAGAGCAAGATAATTTTATGTATTTTATATAATTAGCGTCTAAGGCTGTGAATTATTTAGTATTAGTAGTAAATTATATTTGATATTTCACTAAATTGGTTGCGGATATTGATATTCTCACGGGTGGTGTTTATTTAAAAAGATGGGTAAAAGTCTATCAATATTGGAATAAAAAAGTCTATCAAAATAAGTATATTTATTAAAAGGCTTTATGGTACGGATACCGTGAGATAAAAACCAATTATTTCACGGAGTCTCTGTGGAATATCATGATTTTCACGACGCAATGTATTTGTTGGTAAAATAAGTCTTCGATTTCCATTTAAACGAGAAAATGAAAATAATCAAAGCAATAAACATCATTACAATATAATTGGGCAAATAAGATTTATTACTTAATCATCAAATACAATATACGAAATTCGTAAATTATTCATAAATATACTACTAACAGTAATTGATCTTTTTTTACGAAAATTAAATGTTTTGTCGTATATTATTTATTCTAAATCGAATAGTGACAATAAAGTATTATTTTAATTTAGCTTATTAGTCCGAAGGACTATGCGCGCGAGGTGATGGATGTTCGTGTAATTCCCAAATTATTCGCTCATCCCAGGAACTGAACCTACGTTTCTTAAATTACAGATTCCATAATTTAACCATTACTTCGGGATTAACAATGGTTAGTTTATAATTAGTATTTCTGTAAGTTTATTTAAAATAGGAAACGGCCAAAATCATTGTAGTCCAAAAGCGAAATATTAATATTTGATTAGCAATCCTTTAATGAACCTTATCAATCACTGCGCATGTAATAAAATTTAAGGGCAAATTTTTCTTATTATGATAGCCATATTAAAAATTATGGTGCCGTATAGTTATTAATTATATAATTTATGTATGTAGATCAAAATCGGCTAAAATAAATTTTATTGGTTAAAATTGATGATTTTCGAATCCATAATTCTGGCCAAATTTTGCTTAATTCCGGCCAATTTTATAATGCCGGCCTAAATTTTATAAAAATTGAAAAATGCAGTTCAAATGTAACATTACATTTATATAAA